TCCCCAAGCATATTATATTGAAAGTTCTATATAGATTCTAATAACCATGAAGTGTATTTAATGACAAATATGGGGCTTCACAGATAGCAAACATTTTCGATAATAGAATTTGGTTTTCCTATTCCTATTCAGCAAAAAGCGAGGTTTAAGATCAACATGAATAAAAAAGTGTGAAAACTCTACGGTAGCAACATGGATTTTAGTTATAACAGACATACTTATACGGTATGTGGACTGATGGCTGAATATATATATATATATATATATATATATATATATATATATATATATATATATATATATATATATATATATATATATATAGTGAGCTTATGGATTTAGGCCTATAAATGAATCAACTAATGACTAACTTTTTCATTTATCGAACAGGAGGAGCAGGTTCTTGGCGATAATACTTAGATAAATAACAAATTAGTACTAGCAGTTATGACTTTCACCTTAGTACTGATAATTAAGTCGTAATGATGTTAATTAGGCATATATAGATAATCATCATCACCAATCTCTCATGTAAAAAGGTACAGTAGATAATATATCCAATAAATAAAAATACTGTAATAGAACAATTAATAAATAAAAATGAATACAAAAATAAATACAACAGAATAAAATATAAATATATATATACATTATAAAATTCATAATATAAATTTAAGAGCCACGATCATCTTTGGTTAAGAATATTAAGAACAGCGACAAGACAAAATACAATGTTCTCTCTGCCATTAGTAACAAGTTAGAACGAACATTCTTCATCGCATATACACAAAATTAAGTTCAACAAACATTTCACTGTTGATGGGAATGTTGGTATTCATGGTAGTGTTAATGTTTGTGCTGTTGTCGGTGTTATTGTTAGTGTTAACTTTGGTAGTTAGTGTTAATTTTAATGTTTGTGTTACGTTTTTTCTTTGTGCAAATGTTTGTAATAAGTAGGATTAATGAAAAACAATAAATTCCTTACGAATAACTATGAATCCAACTTCCTTTCCAAATGGGATACTGAGGTAAAACAAATATATTTAAATTATGCTAAATCTTGTCTATTAATTTATTTGTCATAATAGTTTTTTTTGTGTTCTTTAAATATGTTCTGTAGGTTCCCTTAAGGTTCCTCCCCTGCTTGGAGTTGGTTTTCGGAACTATGTTATGGCGCCCATCTTGGTTTGGCAGGAAATATGAATATTTCTCTTCATTGATCTATTCATTTTCTTTATATATATATATATATATATATATATATATATATATATATATATATATATATATATATATAATACATACAAACATACTGTATATATACATACATACATACATACATATATATATATATATATATATATATATATATATATATATATATATATATATATATATATACATATTATACACACACACACACACACACACATATATATATATATATATATATATATATATATATATATATATATATATATATACATATATATATATATTAATATATATATATATTATATATATATATATATATTATATATGTATATATGTAATGAACATGCATAAATATCCATACAGCTGTATTGTTTTTTTTAATATATTCGTGTCTGACGCCTTCTACCGTATTTGCAAGATGGATGCTGACCAAATCCTACAAAAGGGTAAGGGCCACTGGTCTGTGCATTAAGATGGACTGCTGTGTTACCCCTAGTTTGGTAAATATCTATCAATTAGAATATTCCTAATATAACACCTAGCTATTAGAGTCACAAAAGAGCAGACACGTGTTATTACCTAAAGCGCCACCCGTGTTAGTGGTGGTGAGGTCAGTGTTAGTCTGCTTGCCCAGGTTGTTAGCGCCTCGAGTGCCGCTGCTCAGCTTGGAGCCGAACCCGAAGCTCTGGACATCGTTCTGCGGTTTCGAGTCCTGCTTCGGGCTCTGCGGGGCCTGGGTCGTCGTGCGCCGTCTGCTCGGGCTGAAGGTCGTGGCCCGGGTCGGCGTTCTTTCCTCGGGTGTTGCTGCTGCTCCCTGCGGTCGTCGTCCCCAACGGGTGCTTCCTCTCCTGCGTGCCTTACCTGAGCTGGGGGCTGTTCTTCTCGGCGCTTGAGGTCGTCTGACCGCGGAGGTCCTGATCGGGGTGTACGAGGGCTTGGGCGTGGGGGTCCGTACGGACACGGACAACCCAGGCTGATCCCTCACGCTCGCACGACTCGGCGTCCTGAAGGAGGAGGGCCTAGACGGTTTCCTCCTGACGGGGGCGTCGGTCACCGGCGCTCGCGGCTGCTGGGCCATCTTCAGGGTCTTCTTCCGCACGATGCGGTAGCCGCTGAGGTCGGCGATGTAGTCGTAGAGGCGCAGGAGGCCCGTGGCGTCCACCCAGCCGTACGTGCCGATGACCGTGCCGTCGTCCAGCCGCTTCTCCTTGCGGTACTGGCCGTCGTAGGTCTGGTACCTGCGGGGAGGGGCGGCCAGGCGGTCAGGGCGGCGGAGACACGGAGGGGCTTAGAGCACAGTGGCAAAGAATGGCAAAGGTTGTGAGAATCATGAAATCAAACATCCTTGGGAATTAGGGACAAGAACAGATCGAAATGTGCATTCAGGAATAAGATATAAATATGATTTAACCTGTATTACGTGAACAAAACGAGTGAACAGATCCAAGACCTATATGATAAAAAGGTGACAGGAATATAAGTAAATGAAGAGGGACGTGCGCGGGAGAGGGTGCTTCAGACTTCAGTGCCCTCGTTGTCAAAACAGAGAAAAATATCTGTCAAAATCTGAAAAAAAAATATTCAGAAAAAGCGAAAATAATGTTTTAGTCAGAACCAGGGAGAGAAATCTACAATTTTAGCCAAAATCAATGTCTGATTGCAGTCAAAATCAAAGAAATGAAAACCACTCTTTTCGTCCAGTTATGGAACAAAAAGGAAAAAAAATCGAACTGGAAGAAATGTCTTCATTATGCCCCTGCTCTTCTGAAAATCTGTTCACATTACTGCAAATGCATGGAACAAGTTTGAAGACAAGCGCGGGATAGAGGGGATGAGAAAGAATAATAATAATACTAAAATCCTGAATAAAAATAATTCAACCAAAATCTAAGAAAACTGCAATGAAAGACACGATGAGGATAGTAAAGATAGTAAATAAAAGAACCCTTAAACAGGGCAGAATAATGCTGAAGAAAATAAAACGTGATAAAAATAAAATACTAACTTAAGGCTAAAAGACAGAAAGTGCCATACAAAATACGATGATGATAAAATAATATATTAATAAAACAAAACGAAGTAAACCTAAACCACTGAAGAGATTTTAATGGACAAATATTATGCAATAATGAGAATGGATTTTTTCATTATACGAATAAAAGGAAATAAAACACACCGAAGAAATGGAATTATGGGAGAAAGAAAAAAAACTCAAAAAGCGCAAAAAACAGATATGTAAGTACAGAAGTGAAATATATATTACATAATACAACTGTGAATTGAGACTCCAATAAGGAAGGGGGGGGGGGGGGTAAGACCAAAGAAAATACGTGAAGAGAAAAAGGAAAACGAAAGTAAATTTGAACAAATATAGAAACCAAGAAAGGCTATGTTGACAAAGAATACAGGGATGGGAAGAGAAAACAAGAGATTAAGAAAAATGAAATAAAAGAAACGTGAAAAGAGAAACAAATGATAACTAACTGAAGATTGAGAATAGACAAATGATGAAGTAATGGAAACAAAAGAACCAGGAAGAGATTACAAGGATTACGAGCCTATGAAAAGAAAAAAAAAAAGATAAATAAATAAAATGGAATACGGAGACATAGGAATTTAACCAAAAAAGGTGTTCTTTGAAAATAACAGATGAATAGAGGGACGTATATATAAAAAAGGGATATGAACAAAACACAAATAGATGAATAAATAAAATGGAACACGGAGACATGGGAATTTAAACAAAAAAAGTGTTCTTTGAAAATAACAGAATAGAGGGACGGTATATATAAAAAAGAAGGGATGGAACTTGAACACCAAAAAAAGGAAGAATGGCAGCATAAGGCTGAGCCGGAAGACGGGATTAGAGAAAAAGGTTTACTCAAGCAAGAGAAAGGTTAATGAAACGCAAAGAAGACGAAGAAAAAAGGAAGAAAAAAAAGAAATTCTAGTATACTGATATTCATCTCTCGACGTTGATCTCTCGAGAAATTATTTAAGCCAAACGATAATTCAGACACGAAAATGAGAGGTCAAATATGCGTGTAAAAGAACAAAGACCGTTAACCAATATATCCCGCCCACACACAGACACACACGCACACGCACATTGGATGAGACGTTTGGCGCCCGCCCGCCCTGCTCGGCGCTGCGGGCGATGGGTGTAGTCACTCTATTTAAGGGCGTGAGGAGGAGATGGGGTGGGGGAGATCGCCCATGCTGATCCACTTCACCCTCCCCCCCACACCCATCACCTCCCTCCCCTACCCTCCCCCACACCCATCCTCGTCCCGCCCACCCCCCTCCCCCCCTATCCTCACATCCAAGCCCTCAGTCACCTACCCCTCCTCCCCACCCCATCCATAACTGCCCATTATTCCTCTTCGCAGCAACTGGGCCCCCGGCTGTCCGCGCCCACTCGCCATGACCTGTTGTCGCCCACGCTGGGGTGTGCTCGTTCGCCCACACGCACACGACCCAGGGGAAAAAAAGCAGGAAACTGACACTCACTGTGTACGTAAAAAAATCACACATACGCTCGCTGCATACCAAATAAACGAATGCACACGCACATACATGCACCCGCAAACACACACACACACACACACACACACACACACACAACACACACACACACACAACACGCACACGACACACCTGCAAGTCAAACACGCACATACACGAACGCAAGCCAGCACACGCATACCGAGAATCCTATTGTGTTATGAGGAAGTCGAGACAGGAATTTAAATCAAGCAGAATTCACACACCAGATATTTCACACCTATTTATCGCTTCATTGACTCTCTTCTGCTGATTCGCCAATTGTATAAACTATGCTTGATCGCTTTTCAGGTATGCAGAACTTTCATCACCCTAAGAAAATACAGTTAGTGCATGATTGGATTTCCCCCGAGAGAATCCTCTGATCACACCAGTTCGGGTGAAGTATCGGCTAATAATTCACCCCAACGCCCCGACAGATGGCGCCACGGGAGGGACTCTTTCTATTAGCGATTTCTACGTCCAGATGGCGCACTGCAGACCACTCGGATATGCAATGTTGGAATAGCACCCCGCTTTCGTAGCGATCATATTCTGGCGTCCTGAGAGGTATAGCATGCTCTTAGCAGACCAAGATTATACCTCACACGTCGGATTCCCGAGCTGCATGCGTCGCGAAACCCCTTATTTCCGAATAATGTAATGGCGGGTCGTCACTCGCTCCTTTCTCTTGAGAGACCTCCTGCAGGACTTTGGTATCTACCGTTATAAATGAGGGAAAAAAAGTAATTTCGAATATTCCCTTGTTTGGGGCTGCCTCCTTTGCGTACCGTAGGTGTGGGCGCGGCTTATAATTTTAAATAACCGGCTAATAGCCCAACGTGCCCGGGGCTTACAAGTAGTAGTCCGCCCATTAAATCCGGGTTGCGGAACAGGATCGCTGGTGCCGAGGGTCGAAGTGGAGGCTCGCGACCTCGGCCTCTTACCTGAAGTATCGCTCGGATCCATCGTCCGTTTGGATGTGGTACTGCACCGGGTCCTCGCTGTAGCTGGACACGCCCACCACACAGAGCACGCCCACAGTCGCCTAGGGGAGCAAGAGGAAGAATATATGAGAGGCGAGTAATTTGCATACTTAACAGAAGACAAACACACAAAATGGACACTTTGTATACACTGAATGCTGAATGCGAAATAACGCCATTCAGCGGGCTTTACCCTTCGCTCCATTTACTTTATAATAACCACATGTAAACAATATATGAATGTTTGTACCCGCGTACCCTCGCCCTCACCTTGAAAACACGAAGGGCAAGGTAACCTGAAACGGGTGACGTAATCCCGTCCACCCGACCCTTTGTGTTGCTAATATGAACTCTCTTTTCATACTTTACGTTTTGGAAACTACGTCATTGAAACGAAGCCCTCATTGTGCCTCGCAATTATTCCAGCAATTATCTTCCTCCCGATTTGAAAACAGATTCAGGACAGCGGCACGTTCAAGGTTGTGTGCCTCGGCTGCCTCCATTGTGCAAGGGAAGGGCCCGCAGTTAAGACGTTTATGTAGCGCAACGCCGATATCCCTGGACGCTTACCCGACGTAACGACGCCGACGAGACAATAAACATCAACCCTAAACCTTCATCGCCGTAAGATCTTAATAGCCGGCCACGGAGGCGCGATCGGCCGCCAGCCCCCGCGGAAGGGAGAAGGAATCCGCCAGCGCCGCCGCGTACGAGAAGCTTCTTCGTCCATTTGAAGGACACTTGATGTAAATAGTGGCCCCGAGACGCTCCATATAAGACGGCAGTAGTTATCACACATGGTTGCAGCGTCTTGGTTCGCCACGCACGTATATCCACGCCTGCGCTCTTGCCACCGCAACGCGAGTGGAAAGATGGCGTGTTTTGCTGTTGTGTGTGTACGTGAAGGATTGTGTGTGGTTGTGTGTTTATAGGGTGTGTGTCTGAGAGGGGAAAGGAGGGAGGGAGAGACAGAGACAGAGGGAGGAAGAGAGAGAAAATATATAATATATACATACATACATACACACACACACACACACACACACACACACAGATAATATATATATATATATATATATATATATATATATATATATATATATATATATTTCCAATGATGAATATATATTTATATATACATTTAATATATATATATATATATATATATATATATATATATATATATATATATACATATATATATACATATATATATATACACACAGACACACCACACACACACACACACACACACACACACACACACACACACACACACACACACACACACGCACACACAAACACGCACACACACAGAAAAAGAAAGAGAAGTGTGGGTGCTGATTATGAGTGAGTGTTCATGCACGAGTATTGTGCATATGTACATGTAATTATCCGTGTGCGCTAGGGAACAGACCATGTACAGGTTCTTATGAGGACCACGAACGTAATACCAAAACACCAAATTCCAAATATCAAGAACAAGACGAACGGCCCCAAAGCAGCCGACAACGAAGTAAACAAACCACGGAAAAAAGGTAAACAAACCCTTCCTCGCACGGAACAACCCAACAACCCGGACAACCGCACAGCCCAAAGGACAGATCGCCAGTGCAAGACTTCCTACAAGGGGGGGGGGGGAGAATCCTCCCTCTTTTCGCATAATCCGCACAGGGCAAGGATCCGCGTGGGAAAAATTCCTGACTCTTCCCGCATCGAGACCCTCACTCGACTAGACTTCCATGGAGTTGTTGATTGGGCTGCGCGGACCCTCCACAGGTGTTTGGAGGGCGAGTCATTCCCCCGCCCTTCCCTCTCCTTTGGGTTTATTTTCCTCTTTTCCTTTTCATTTTCATTAATTTTCCTTTTCCCTTTTCATTCCTCCCGTTTCTCTGTGGTTTGTTTCCATTTTTTCTATTTCCTTTCACTTCGTTTCATTATTTTTCCACCGCTGCTTACCCTCTCTTTTCCTTCGTTTTATTTTCCTCTTTTTCTTCCCTTCATTTCCCTTCGGTTTATTTCCCTCTTCTCTTCCTTTCTCTTCATTTCCTCCTTTTCCCTCGTCTATTTCCTTCTCGCCCTTCATTTCCTTTCTCTTTTTTTCTTGTTTCTTCCGCTTCCTTCCCGTCCGTTCCTTTCCGTCTATTCCCTTCCCTTCCTTTTTCTTCAAATATTTCCATTTCTTTCTCCCTCCTCCTCTTCTTCCCATTTCCTTTCCTGCATCACCCTACTCTTCCTTTCTCTTTGTTTCCTTCTAATTTTTCTTCTTCCTCTGACTTTTTTCTTCTCCTTTCCCCTTCTCTTTCATTTTTCTTTTACCTTCCTCTCGTGTATTTTATTTTTCCTTCCCTTTCTTTTCCTCCTTCTCTCCTTTTCATTACATATTTGATCAAAGTCTTTCTCTTTTCCTTTCCTTCTCTTTCTTTTTTTATTTCTCCTCTTGTTTCTTACTCCCTGTTTCCCATCCCTCCTCATATCCACGTACTTTTCCTTCTCTTCCACAATGTCATTCATTTATCCCTTCTATCTCCACTACTTTTTTCTCTCTTTCTCATTATCCCCCCCCTCTTTCTCCCTCTCCCCCATCCCATCCCCGCCTTTCCTATCTGCGCCATCTCTCCTCTCCCTCCCCATTTTCTCGTCCTCTTCCCATGCTCTACCCTCTCTTATCTCTGTGTCACTTCTTTCCCTCTCCCTTCCTCTTTCTTTCTCTTCTATCCACCCTTCCTACCTCCCTCCCTCCTTCCTTCTTCCTCTTTCCCTCTTCCTCACCCTCCCTCTTCCTCCCTCTCTTCCTCTTCCTCCCCCTCCCTCCCCCTCCCTCTCTCTCTCTCTCTCTTACTCTCTCTCTACTCTCTCTCTCTCTCTCTCTCTCTCTCTCTCTCTCTCTCTCTCTCTCTCTCTCTCTCTCTCTCTCTCTATAATCTTTATATTCTTTATCTGTCGTCATTTGGCGCATCTTAGCATGGGATAAGTCTCTCCTCTATCTATTTATCTATCTATCTATCTCTCTCTCTCCCTTCCTCTCCCTCTCCTCTCTCCTCTCTCCCTCTCCCTCTCCCTCTCCTCCCTCCCCTTCCCTCCTCTCCTCCCTCCTCACCCCCCCCTCTCTCTCTCTCTCTCTCTCTCTCTCTCTCTCTCTCTCTCTCTCTCTCTCTCTCCCTCTCCCTCTCCTCTCCCTCTCCCTCTCCCTCCCTCCCTCCCTCCCTCCCTTCCTCTCCTCCTCTCTCTCTCTCTCTCTTCTCTCTCTCTCTCTCTCTCTCTCTCTCTTCTCTCTCCCTCCCTCCTCCTTCCTCATCTCTCTCTCTCTCTCTCTCTCTCTCTCTCTCTCTCTCTCTCTCTCTCTCTCTCTCTCTCTCTCTCTCTCTCTCTTCTCTCTCTCTCTCTCTCTCTCTCTCTTCTTCTCTCCCTCTCTCTCTCTCTTCCCTTCTCCTCTCTCTCTCTCTCTCTTCTCTCTCTCTCTCTCTCTCTCTCTCTCTCTCTCTCTCTCTCTCCTCTCTCTCGTCTCTCTCTCATCCCTCCCTCTCTGCTCTCTCTCTCTCTCTCTCTCTCTCTCTCTCTCTCTCTCTCTCTCTCTCTCTCTCTCTCTCTCTCTCTCTCTTCTCTCTCTCTCTGTCAACGAGTCAAGAACTCCTGTCATAACGGAACCCAACTTCCTTACGCACTACGCATGACTCGCTGTTTCCATCACTGTCTCGTAATCTGTTTCCGGAATCGAATTATTTTGCGCCTCTCCTTCTCTCTGTTTTTTTTTTTCGTTTTTTTTTCTTTCTGTTTTTTAATCTCTTTCCCTTACCTTTCCTTCCTTCTGTTTTTCTCTTTTTCTTTCTATTTCTTTCTTTTTATTTACTTTCCCTTTATCTCTCCTTTCTGTTTTTCCCCTTTTTCTATTTTTTTATATCTTGCCGTTACTTCTTCCTTCTGTTTTTCCTTTTCGTTTTTTTTTCTATTTTTAAACCTCTTTCCCTTATCTTTCCTTCTTTCTGTTTTTCTCTTTTTCCTTTCTATTTCTTATCTCTTAATTTCTCTTTCCCTTCCTCTGCTACCTGGATCGTTCATATGCTTTCCCCTCCTGTTCCTCATGGCGATTTTTTTTTCTTCCTTTCTTTCTATATACCTTTGTCCCTCCTTTCATCACCCTCTTCCCTCCTAACCCCTCCCCTCTCGCTTCGACGCCTTCCCTCCTTCCCCTCCCTCCTTCCCCTCCGCCCCCTCCTAAAAGCCCTCCCCTCCCTCTTCCCTCAAAAGCCTCCCCTTCCCCCCCCCCCTCTCCCTCCAGCCCTCCCCTCCCTCTCCCCCTCTCCTCCCCTCCCCTCTTCCTCTCCCTCTAAGGCCCCCCCCTCCCTCCCCTCCCTCTCCTCTAAACCCTCCTCCCTCTCCCCCTCATCCTCCCCCCCCCTCCAAGCCCTCCAGCCTTCCAGGGCAGTGAAGCATAGGCCTACGCCCCCCCCCTCTCCCCTCCCCCTCCCCACCGTACAAACCGCGCTGAATTAACACCAAGGTTAATTACGCGTGTTTATCTTCCCGCGGCGGAATGTCCCATTAGCAGAGGCCGCATCGCTAAGTGCGTTGATTGCTGTCTGTCTCTTCCTTCTCTCTCTCTCTCTGTGTCTGTTTATATGGTTTTGAATCTGTTGCTCTCTCATTCCTTCTCCGTTCTGTTCTCTCTCATTCTCATTCTTTTTTTTCTCTTTTTGGTCTCTCTCTCTCTCTCTTTTGGTTCTCTCTTCTCTCTCCTCTCTCTCTCTCTCTCTCTCTCTCTCTCTCTCTCTCTCTCTCTCTCTCTCTCTCTCTCTCTCTCTCTCTCTTCTCTACTCTCTCTCTCTCTCTCTCTCTCTCTCTCTCTCTCTCTCTCTCTCTCTCTCTCTCTCTCTCTCTCTCTCTCTCTCTCTCTCTCTTTTTATCTATCTCCTTTTTGCACGGCTCCAAAGTGCAGTAACCAAAAGTACAGCGGTATTACAGTTCCGACCAACACATGCGAAAGATTTTGCACACGGAGCGGGCCATCGTTGTACAGCTGTGGAAACGCAGGAAGGACGGCCAAAATATGTGACGCATAAATAGGTGCAATGTAGAAATTTATGGCGAATATTTTACGTTTGATGCCAGGGAGATTTTGCGTTTGTGTCTGGCTACTTTTTTTTTCTTTTTTTTTTTTTGTCTCTCATTCTTTTTCTTGTTCTTTTTTGGCGTGTTTTCTTACGGTCAAAAATATCGTGTTGGATTTAAATTAGACGTGGATTTTACTTTAGTTTCTATTGGAACTTGATAAATTGATAATTGATATGATACATAACAAGAACCGTTTATGTGGATCGGTAGACATATTTATCCTGTTATCAACTTACCCAAATATGCCTTAGAGATAACTGATATCTTGTAAGATGAAGAATATTTGCAAATCATTCTCCACACTAATATCAGTGTTTGCGCAACGCACTTCCAAACCAACATACCACTTTTAGGGGTAAATTTTCAAGAATAACAAACCCTATTTGTGAATCATATTTGTGAATGCTATCAATACATTTGCATATTGATTTAAGAATGAAATACATATTTGTGCATATCAATTGCTGTGGATAACGTTCTAGAATGAAATGAATGTCAGAGCTGAATGAATTTATTAGACTTAAAAGAATAATTTTAACTGAAATTAATTTTTGGATGAAATGAATCTTAAACAGAAATTAATCTGAGACTGAATGAATCTTAAACTGAAATTAGAATCTTAATCTTAAACTGAAATGAATCTTCGACTGAAATGAATCCTAGACTAACATGATTTTTTGGGTGAAAAGAATCTGAAATGGCGGCTAGTGCATGGCCAGTTGAGCAAGCGCAGAAAAGGTCGCACGGAACTCGATAAAGGTACAATCACGCCCACTGCAACCACCACGCCCGCTCTCTGCATTCCCATCCATATATATTTGCAACGTTGCAATCAGCACTTACTTCATACGGTCCCACGCATGCAAAAAAAAATACTGACGAGTTTATGCAATACGATTATATTTAGAGTAATTTTCACACACGTGTTGGTAACAGTGTCAAGAAGTGGAGTTGTCATTGTTTTCTTTTTCTTTTTCTTTTTTTATGGATGTATCTTTCTTTTACGCATCCGTTGCTGAATCAACGTCAATTGGAAGTTTATGTATTTTAATTATAACGTTTGAGAAGTTAGGAGATGAAAAAAGGAACAGAATAATAATCATGAAAAAAAAAATTAATTCCGAGTTCGTTACATCCGTCATGCAGGAACAAGACAGCATCTGTGTACAAGCTTTTTTTTTTTTCTTTTTTATATACATATATAGCGACAAGGGGAAAAAATGTAATGTCATGACAGCCTTCGACCAGCGTAAGATTTTTTTTGTGTTTTAGAATTCACTTCCTTGTGAGAGAAGACCAGCGTTCAACGACAACCTTCGTCTCCGGCATTGCGACATCCGGCAACTTTTTCGCTGCGAAGGGGTGGGGGGGGGGGGAGGCTAGATCAGTAGCAACTCGAGCAGGTGTCATGGCGTCGTGCAGGGCTATTTTGATGATTGTCCAATGAAAATATAACCATTAAAATTAAAAATGTTTTCCCATCCTTTTTGAAAGTTGAAAAAATCAAAATGATCGACTATATTCACAAAGCATCCGTAACTTTTGTGACGTCATCAAAATGTGCTTCAAAAAAAAAAAAAAAAAAAAATCAGACGCCATGACACCTCGTTGCTACTGATCTAACCTCCCCCCCCCCCACCTACGAAGGGCGAAGAAAAATGACGAATTCTAGACAAACGCAACGCGCAACAAAAGAGAAAAGCGATGTTTGTTATCAACGCAATCGAAGGACGTCAAGATGTCGTAATGAGGGCGGTTTAATGAGCTGTTCAGTGACCTAGAAATTAAAACCAGTGGATTGTTGCCTTGTTCATAACTAATGATCTGGATCCCATTCCATGACGTTAATTAAAGAACTATTTATTTTATGGATTAGATCAAGGCTACCTTATGTACCTCAAACAATATATATGAACGTAATATTAGCAAACTGTATTATCTAACAGCATTCATATTCATAACATCCATGTTCTCAAACTGCTTTATCTACCTTACTAAAACAAACTGTATGAACAGCCATATTCATAACATATTAGCAAACTGCTTTATCTAACAGCTTTCATAACATCCATGTTCTAGGTTGCAAAGATGATATCCAAAGAGTTAAAGAAAAACTCACCTCCATCTACAATTTTCCTTTTTAATGAACTACAACATCCTACTACTCGCAACGCCAATGATAAAAATAATAGAAGAAAATAAATATATGATAATGATAATTTAGTATTTTTTTTGTCCTTTCTTGTCTCTCTAATCCTTCTATAAATTCTATAAACTAACACAACATAAAAAACATAAACCCAAAGACTTCCCTCCCCCCCCCCCCGCATTCCCCACGTAACGAACTCAGAATCCAATTTTTCTTTTTCATGATGAATTTCTTCTTTTTCCTCTATCCCTCATATACTATATAATCAAAACATCTAAACTTCCAATGAATGTTGATTCTGCAATTCTCCTAAAAACCACAACCTCCTCCCACAATACAATACCCAACATCCACACATCCCACACAGTCCTCCAAGGACGTCCCACAAACATCCCACCAACCCACAAGACCCCCACATCCCCCCCACACCAGTCCCAAGTCCCTCCCCACACCAGTCCCCCAACCCACAGCATCCCACATCCCCCCCCACAGCATCCCACATCCCACACCCCAAGACGTCCCCATCTACCCCAAAGACGTCCCACAGCATCCACACCCACCAGTCCCCCAAGTCCCCCAAGCATCCCACATCCCCCACCATCCCCATCCCCACATCCACCCCACCCAGTCCCCCAAGACGTCCCAACAGCTCATCTCCCCACAGTCCCACCAGTCCCCCAGCATCCACATCCCACCGTCCCAAAGTCCCCACCATCCACCCATCAAGACGTCCCCACAGCATCATCCCACAGTCCCCCACCAGTCCCCCAGAGACGTCCCCACAGCATCCCACATCCCACACCAGTGTCCCCCAGACGTCCCCACAACATCCACAACCCACACAGTCCCCCAAGACGTCCCCACAGCATCCACATCCCCACCAGCCCCCAAGACCCCCACAACATCCCCCCACACCCCCCCACGTCCCCACAACATCCCACAACCCACACCAGGCCCCAAGACGTCCCCACAGCATCCCACATCCCCCACCAGTCCCCCAAGACGTCCCACTCCCATCCCACCAGTCCCCCAAGACGTCCCCACAGCATCCCACATTCCCCCCAGTCCCCCAAGACGTCCCACAACATCCCAACCCACACCAGTCCCCCAAGACGTCCCCACAGCATCCCACATCCCCCACCAGTCCCCAAGACGTCCCCACAGCATCCCACAACCCCACACCAGTCCCCCAAGACGTCCCCCACAGCATCCCACAACCCACACCAGTCCCCCAAGACGTCCCCACAACATCCCACAACCCACACCAGTCCCCCAAGACGTCCCCACAGCATCCCACATCCCCCACCAGTCCCCCAAGACGTCCCCACACATTCCCACAACCCACACCAGTCCCCCAAGACGCAGCAGAGGACAATGACACCACGAGGGAAAGGACGGGGCAATCACTAGGACAATCACAGTACCAGCCCAGTACCTCTGCAGAACGGCGGGAGGACTGCACGCCCTCGCCATCTCGCCAAGCGCATCCTCCAGTGGAATCAATGGGACTCACTGGTCTCCAAGATGCGGAAAATCATAGGATGGCAACAAAGGCTTTATCCTCTCTGTCTCCTCCGATTAGCGATGGTTGTCTTGTTACCTTTTTTCGTAGTCTTTTTTTTTTGTTCTTCTTGTTATCATCGTCTTATTTATCTATTTTTTTATTGGTGTTGTGTTATTTTTGTTGTGAAAAAGGATGGGTGAATTGTGAATGATAGATTTAGTGATATGGTGTCACGTTAGCAATATGGAATTGTTAGAGGGAAATTGGAGAGGGTGGGGAGGAAAGAGAGGAGAAAGGAGAGGAAAGAAAAACATTGAACAGAAGAAAGAAGCAGGCATGATAGTAGTAATAATATATATCATATATATATATAATATATATAATATATTATATATATATACTATATACATATATATATATAGAGAGAGAGAGAGAGAAGAGAGAGAGAGAAGAGAGGAGAAGAAGAGAGCGGAGAGTGAGAGAGAGAGAGAGACAGACAGACAGACAGAGAAAGAGAAACAGAGAAAAGGAGGACAGAGAAGAGAAGAAACCCATCCATCTGGTCACAGGTGGAGCGAGGCAGCGAAGGAAGGCGAGGTTTACGGGCGTGACCAAAACACGACGTCACGCCCACCCGCCCACCTTGAATGATGATTGCCTACCTGAGCTTTACCTGCTTTAGCATGCCACTGAGGACCGCCCCCCCCCCCTCCCCCACCATCCCTTCTCTCGCGCGCGCACACCTGCTAATTTCACCGCGGGGTAATTATTCTACCTCTGTCTATTGGGTGACGTCACGCGTGGTAGGGTCGGGGGAGAGACGTCGACAACCCCCCTCCCCCTCACTCCCTCCCACCCCCCATCTCTCCCTCTGCTTTACTTGCTTTAATTTCTTATTTCTCTTCTGCGTTTTTTCCTTTTCGTCTCTTCTTACCTATTCTCTTTATCCAAATTCTCTTCTGCCTTTTTCCTCGTTTGCTTTTTTCTCTGTTCTCTACCTGTCTCTCTATCCTGTTTCTCTTTTCTTCATTCACCTCTCTTCCTTCCCGTCTTTCTATCCTTTTCTTTTCCTTCTTACTCTAGCCCTCTCCTCTTCTCCTCTTCCTGTTCTACCCCTTCCCTTTTTATCTTTATCTCTTTCTCATTATTTCTTTCGTGTCTCTCCTTTCAGTCCTTTTTCCACTTGCTTTCCTCTCCTTCTCACTCTTCTCTTTCCTCCCTTTCCTTCTTTCTTGCCTCTTCTTCCTCCTTCTCTTCCATTCCTCCTCTTCAACCCCTTTTCCTCTCCTTCTTACTCTCTCCCTTTCCCCCTTTTCCTTCTCTCTTATCTCACCTTCCCCCTTTCTCTCACATTCCTCCCCTCTTGCCTCTTCCACCGCTCTCCCTTTCCCCTCTACTCCTCACCTCTTGTCCCTCCTACCCCTCTCCCCCTTCTTCCACTTCCTCTTCCTCCCCCCCTTCCCTCCTCTCCTCCTCCTCCCTTCCACTCAATGAATCTTCAACAATTGGTTCTCCTGTGGCTCTGTGTCGAATCAACAACGAGAACTCTTTTTTGCGCAGAGTGAGAGCGTGGAAAGAGTGAGAGCGAGAGCGAGAGTGCGTCTCGGTTGCCTACTGGAGCGAGATTTGTCGTTCTGCCCGTTGACAGGGGGGTGAAGAGAGAGGAGAGAGGAGAGAGGGAGAGAGGGAGAGAGGGAGAGAGGAGAGAGCAGAAGAGAGAGAGAGAGAGAGAGAGAGGAGAGAGAGAGGGAGGGAGGGAGGAGGGAGAGGAGGAGGGAGAGGGAGAGAGGAAGAGGGAGAGGGGGAGAGGGAGAGAGGAGAGAGAGAGAGAGAGAGAGAGAGGAGAGAGAGAGAGAGAGAGAGAGATTACCTTGGATACTTTTGATTGGATTTGTGTTGTGATTGTGTTTTCTGTGCTTGCCTGTTTGCGTCTGCGTCTGTCTGTCTATGTTTGTTGTCTGTCTCACCTCTCTCTCTCTCTCGCCTACTTCCTCTGCTTCTTCTACCCTCTCCTTCTCTTCCTCACTATTACCCTTCTCTACTCCTCTTCTGTTCTCCTATCCTTCCTCTTTATCTCCCTCTCCCTCTTCTTACCCCTCTCACTTCTCTCTTCTCTCCCCCTTTTCCCATTCCCCTCCATCCTTCCCCCCCCCCTCCCTCCCCTGACCGGTGAAGACGCGCTGTGGTTTTGCAACGACACTAAGAATAGTTTGCGGTTTATTAATGCCATCAAAGCGGAGGCGGAGATGGGGTTTTGGGTCCAGAAGTGAATCCTTGCGATAAGTAAAACGAGGGGCGTTGTTTTCAAAATACTGAGATATTTTCGTGTGTGCGTAACGAATTTCTTAAAACTAGAGTCATTAATTCGGGCTAAATCCGATGCTAATCTGTGACAACAAACTCGACAGTGTCAATAATTTTCTATTTGGGGAACCAGCGTGAAAACGATGGAGAGTAAAACCTTGATTCACGCCACGAGATAAAACCACGCTTTGGGCCCGGGGGCATCGGCGCTTTTCTCTTCGCTAAACAAATTTCACTGAAGACATTTTAAAAAGAAAGCGAAATCCTCACGATAAGTCCCCTTCGCCGCCACTCAAAGCGACGAGAAAGGAGCAAGTCACCTTTTTAAAGGTAGCACGTCCGTTGGCCAAATTTCTCTCGTCTCAGACCACGGACATTTGTAGCCATACGTGACGAGTGGGGTCACCCTCCCCTCCCCTCCCCCCCTCCCTCCCAGATTGCAAGCGGTTAAATAAATGACGGGAATAAAGACCGCAAAAAATTGCAACAGACTTTGCTTTGTTTTCTTCTTCTCGTGAGAATGTGGGGCGCCGACGCCACAAGGTACTTTGTCTTCTCGCGGTTACATGTGTTAAGAAGGATCTCGTTCACATCCGGCGGCGCGAGGCGGCGGGAGCAGCGAAGCGTGACGGAGACGCAGAGTGTGCTGAAGAAATATAACAAGGTCTCTTAAAGCACCTTGAGTTT